GCAAACTCCAGCAATGGTCTGCCATTCATATATGATCACCACCGCCCCTGATAACCTTCTTCCATTGTCCGAAAATTCTAATGACATCTTTTATAGTGCTCCTCACTAAACTCACCCACTTTTTGTGGAAATCGATGTTAATGCGAGTACATGAAGTGTATTTTTATGCCCATGTTGCACCCTAGCTCTTGAAAGTTGGATAGCATGCTCTCAACAATTTCTTTTTGCTTAGGAAATTACTTCTAACCAAAAAAATGAATTCTAAGCTTAGGACTGGACTTCAGTCATTGATTTCTTAAAATTACTATCATTTACCAGTTGCCTAATGTGAGTCCCATCAAAAATTACCAACATTCAAGTTTTCTGTGCTTAATCCTGAAAACTTTCATGAAAGAAAATTATAACTTTGGTTACTTTCGTCAAGCGCCTTCACAGACTGTTTCAAGATGCTGAGGTTAATATAAAGTGGTGGAAGTACGGTGATACGGTCTTGGCTAGCTAAAGGCATGTTTATAAAATAGTTTGTATCAACTTTAGCTGAAAAGCAAAAATTCGTGTGTGCGGGAAGCCGCACTGGTCAAAATTTTTGTAACCAATGCTTTTGTTTGTTACGACTATTCCAGATACACATGAAACGAGAATTTTGTGTAGCCCCCTTGTTGGCCTAAAGTAAGTTACCTATTCTCAGAACACAAAGAACCCATTNGTAAATAGATAGGAACAAATAAAAAACCAACCAGTAAATTTTAACATTTCACATGTGATAGATAGATTTTAGTGCTCTAAATATCGATTTTTGAACGTCAATACCTAAATAACCGTTTGAGGTATATTTATGAAATTTGAAGCTGATGTATATCTTACAAGTCTCAATACATGAGCCAAATTTGAAGTGTTAATGCACAGCAGTTTTTGAATGATGAGGAGTCAAAAGTGGCTCTAATTGGTTCGTCTAAATATAATCACGATGCAGTCCCCTCCCTGTAACTAGGCTTAACATGCTCCCGCATGTCTATAGTGTTTGCTCAATGTTAATTTAGTAGATTTTCTCCTGAAAGGAACATGTAAGACAACAATAAAGTTTCCGATTTTACAGACCTTCTAGAGCAGATGCCGCAAAAACTATACAAGATATAGAAAAACTTGACGGTCTCACCTGTAGCAAATTGAATAAGCTTTTTTTGGTTCATAGTAGTCATGTCACTAGGACGCATAGTTTCCGAGGATTAAGCGAAAAACCGAAAAGTGGTACCTTTAAACCCCCCTCTCCCCGCCGGCTCAAGGGCTAAGGGTGGGGACTTTTGCTATGTTCACCACCTAACTAGGCTTAATAAAGTCCCGAGGTCAGAAATTGTGTTCCACGGATTTCTCTCTACACCGTCGTTAAGGCATTCATTGACTGGACTAAATCTAGTTTATGTATAAAATGTACCAGACTTTCTTATACATTTCCGTCCATTTTATCCGCTAGCGCCCATCTTATTGCTCCGCCTGAGTTCTGTGTACGAACATGAACAGAATCCACACGTAATTTAATGGAAATGAAATATGAATGTGAAAAGGTCAGTCCCGTGTTGACTTTACTTGTTCGCCTTTGTATCTTTCATTTTATAGTTTGCTCCATTTCACTGTTAATATTGGTTCTAGTTAGCCCTTATAGAGTTCTTTTATCATTTGAGCTCTAACAAAGCCCCGAAGCCGTCGCGTAATTTCGAAGAATTATTTAATAGCAATTGTGAATGAAACAAAATTAATAATAGCTAGGTTACCTAAGTCTAAATTCTACTTTTTCAGCCGTATCTCCTTTTTGTACATTGTTCATAATAAAGTTCATTTCATTTCGTTACTCTACACCAGTGTTCTTCAACCTGTGGGCGAAGCCTCTATAGGGGGGGTTGTAAGCCTCTATAGGGGAGTCGCGAAGCCTCTATAGGGTTCGCGAGAGGTCGTAAAACTACCTCAGTAAAATAAACAATAAAGTTATAAGATAGATTTATCCAAATCTAATTATGCAAATGCGTAAATGTTGTATGGATTGAAGTATTCGGCCCCTACAACATCTTTGTAACATTATAAAATTCATGAAACAAAAGTGAAAGGTCGGGATTGTGGTCGAAGGGTCACCAAATATTTTTTCATACTAGGGGGTCGTGTCATGAAAAAGGTTGAAAAACACTGCTCTACACAATGTATCATTTGTTATGGTTTTGAATTCGAATCGGTTAGTATAGGACGTACAGGTACAGATGCATGACTAGTAGTTTTATGTCTACCTTATTATTTTAAAGAGGAAAGAATTGACTATATGTATTATTTGTAATTTTGTATTGAATAGGCTCCGAAACTTCTGGATAGATTTGGAAAATTATTTCACCATAAGAATTATAGGTACCTACGTTATCCCTGATGAACATAGGCCATACAATATTTTCAAAAAGGCCGGTAAGTTCGCCTGGTCAGCTAGTAACTGTAATACCTACATCGCTGAATATTCATACCGACTTCTGAATCCATCGTTTTCCAATCAGAATACTCGGAAATTGGGGATAAGAGGGATTTAAATACACAGACTGATCGAGAACATGATGGATTTGAATTTTAGATTCAATTTTGATGTCAAGTCTGCTTTTTACAGCATGTAAAAAACCTCTTTCCCCCTTTCCTGATCCGATAGGGGGCTCTGGCTATTATGTATGTATTCTGTGCCTCTGGTGCTTAAAACAATTTTGTATGGTACCAAAATCGTAATGGCAGAAATAATCATTTGACTTCTCCATAACAAACCAGTCGGAGAGTCTTTTATAGTAATTATGATTTATGTGTGTTTCTTCATGGTCTGCGAGAAGATATAAATATGCGTGCAAAACTTAGATAGCAATTTTGAGTAATTAAACGCTGCAAAATAAATAATATTAACATTGGACCAATTCCTAATGGCGCTGACTAATAAATTAATAATTAATTAATTTCAACGTAACGAGTAGATATGTGTCATAATTTGTTTCACTATCAAGAGTACCTACAAGAATACAAGTACTCCATATTATAAAAACATACTCGTATCTGATTGTAGCTACTTACATAATTGCCTGCATCACAAAATTATATTTACGAAAATCTAAAAATTATTAAAATCTTCATATTTTTTCCGTTTTCTATTTAAGGCATAACCACATATTTCGTCATCATCATATGTTCTTACAGAAAATGTCAAACGTTATTTTGTTCTGTGTTGGTTTCAGTATTTATTGCCTAGCACAGTTCAAACCTACCCAGGTACACATACTCATACTCGTGTCTTGAGGGAAAATCCAGAGCTCAAGAATATCCAGCACGTGTTTATATAGGCTGTTTCTTTTCAATTATTTGAATAAGAAATAGCTCTATAACTTACAACAACATATTGAGATTGTAACCTAAACTGATAAATTGTGTTGTGTTCCCTAAATAAATAAATAAACTGCTAACAAAAATGTGTGCTCTTATTAATTTAAATTTTCATCATTTCAGCCGAAGGAGGTCAACTGCTGAACATAGGCCTCTCCCAATGATTTTCAGATTAGCCGGTTGGTACTAGGTGGACCGACGATCTGGTAAAGGTCGCGGGAAGAGCCTGGATGCGGGCAGCGCAGGACCGTTCACTGTGGAAAACCTTGGGGGAGGCCTTTGTCCAGCAGTGGACGTCATTTGGCTGAAACGACGGTTGGTACTTAGTAGCGGCCTGCATCCAGTGCCTTCCTGCTACCTTTATGAGGTCGCCGGTCCACCTTGTGGGTCATCCTACGCTGCGCTTACCGCTTACGTGGCGCGTCTCTCTGCTATTTTCATGAGGTCGTCTGTCCACCTTGTGGGTCCACCTGCACTGCGCCTACCGGTACGTGGCGTCCCCATTAGTCATTACCATTAGTCACAGTCATTGGCAAATATATTACGTAATGTTACGTCATACATTTGCCAAACTGCATTTCAGTTTGGCTGCAATGGTTTTCGTCCTTATTAATGTTGTCATTTACTTATATGATGTGACTTCTTCCACCCTGTATAAGTGATTACACCACTCAACGATAGTCGAAAGTCAAACAGCAGCATAATGAGAGGCTCTTAATCAGCGAAGATTGATGAAATTACAACATATAGAAGTATTAGCCATCGAGCACTACTCAAGATAAATGTGTACTTACACTGAGCAAATACTACGTCGTAGACGCCGTAAGGGCGAGTGTATACTGGAGATAACGAAATTATCGTATTATTTAATAGTCTGGACGAAAATATACTTGGTAAGTATATGAGACAAATCAATCTTAAAAGATTTGAACTGCAATCTCCAATCCGTCTGCCAAGAAGCCTGGGGATTATGGCAAAACCCTTCTATAGTGGAGGAGGCTGTTGATGATGATGATGATGAGACAAATATTGAAGGTGGACTCGAGGAGAAAGAAGGAACGGTGAAGGTCGAGATCCAAGGAACGCTGGTTCGAACCCCGCCGCCTATGGACTATTGTGGTGAAATCACTTGTAACACAAGCAAAGTTAGCTTAGTACGAGCTTATAAAAAAATGTAAAGATTCTAGATTCGACTTCATAGCGATGAGGATTTATTATGAAGTAGACGAGAAGCCTCTCTCATATTTCTCACTTCTTCTTGCAATCAGGTCAGTTATAACAACTGAAATCACAGTCTCGAACTACCCATAAGTTGATGGCGAAAACAACTTGACACCAAAAACAAAAGTCTTGGTGGTTAACACAACTCGTCAAAAACTTATAAAATACTATTTGAATGAACATAAAACCCTAAAAGAACTACAAAAAAGTTTTTAAAGCTTAGCCATAAAATCGAGAATAAATAGAAACAGAGCGTCCAGTCTAAAAGCCTTTATAGATCCAAATAAAAACGTAGGTCCTTAAACTTAGTCCAATCGAGTAAGTTGCTGCAGATAACAATCTATTTCAGACTATATCGTTCTAAGAAGGGTATAAAAGGTCCAATATAGTTCACAAATAAGTATAGAACGTTAGAAGCGACTGCTGACTTTTCGCGTCCAATTTTTGTGATCAGCTTTAAAATGATTGCTTTTCTTTTAATTATTAGTCTTTGCGGTTTTTCCGTTCACGGTGAGTTTTTTATTATGTTTGTTCAATTTGATTTGATTTTATTTTCGATTATTTCTTGATGTTTCGTGTGATCATTGATAGACAAATAAAAGCTGGCGAAAGCTACTAGGTAATTGGTTAAATTCACAAAATGGAGTTTGAATTATTCAGTTTCTATTTGAGCTTCAATTGAATTAGCTGATGTCTAGTTATTTAGAAAGATAAGTAATTCGGTTTCTGAGTAATTTTCTTGAAATTTTAGCTGATTGGAAAGTAAACTAGTTACTGCGTTTAACGAATTGGTTTTACTTTGAAACTAAAACAGATTGATCATTAATTATGAAATCATAATCGAAATAGTAAAGATTTCAGATGTAACCTTTACCACCCTTTACTGTAATTCAGTCATTATAATAACAATAGAAAAAAAATGCCAAATAGGTAGTTGTAACTGTTCTGAATTAAAATGCATAATTACATTCGGCAATTGTTTTTTACAGGTCTAGCGCATACGTATTTAACTAAGTTAGTAACTGAGAAAGGAGACATAATATTATGACGTGACAGAGCATTCAAGTCTGAAGCACCTCTGTAGTCTCGCTGACAATTGACATTACAAGCACGTAACCTCCCGCGCCGCACCTATGCCTCGCGCACTGATTCAGTTTATGCGCTAGACTGGTTCATCATCATCATCATTTCAGCCACAGGACGTCCACTGCTGAACATAGGCCTCCCCCAATGACTTCCACATCGCAAGGTTGGTAGCGACCTGTATTCAGCACCTTCCTGCTACCTTTATCAGGTCTTCGGTCCACCTTGTGGGTGGACGGACATCCCACGCTGCGTTTTCCGCTAGACTGGTTATTGCCCTAAAAAAAGTTACAGCTGTAGAGCAATTAACAGCCAATTTTTCCTCATCAGGGTCTGCCATCCCGACCTATGACATCAGGCTCCAGTCACCCCGGATCGTGGGCGGATTGGACGCACCCGATGGTGGCATACCCTATCAGGCCTCTCTGAGGACCATCTTCGACTCGCACTTCTGCGGCGGATCCATTCTGAGCAAGAACTTCGTTCTGACCGCAGCCCATTGTACTGTCGGGTATGTGTGCGTTTTAAAATGGGGGTCTGGTGATTCGTAGGTGAAATATATTTTAGCAAAACATTCGCCGATGAAATTGAAAACTTGTATCGGCTAATAATTCAACGGACAAATGAGGAGAACGGTCCCAGACTCTGTTTAGATTCATAATACCCGTACACTGTTGACATTTTTTTTAAATACTGTCAAACTTTCCATAGAATTGTAAGTGTATTGGTAAGTCTATTATTATACTTGTTTTGAAATTAACTCATCTTGTACAATCTTCTCATCAAGAATAATTAAGAATGTATTTTCACTGAAAAGATTCCAAAGTCCTGACTTACCAAAACAAATCTGGCAACACTGTCACCTACCACAACTATTATGTTGCATTGTGTTTACGTTTTGAAATTGCTAATATTTGTATAACTCTTCCAGCCAATACCCAGCGTTCATCAAAGTGACAGTGGGCACCAACAGCCTCGTCAGCGGCGGTCAGTCGTACGCCGTCTCCAAGCTCATCGTCCACGAGGGTTACGACGCCTCCCTGATCGCCAATGACGTCAGCTTGGTCAAGCTTGCCCAGGACATTGTATTCTCAAATAGGGTACAGCCAATTGAGCTGCCTGCTGGTGATACAGAGGCAGGAGCTGATCTTGTGCTCACTGGCTGGGGAAGAACTTCGGTAAGTATCATCATCATTTTCAGCCTTAGGACGTCCACTGCTGAACATAGGCCTCCGCCAATGATTTCCACAATGGCCGGTTGGTGGCGGCCTGCATCCAGCGCTTTCCCGTTACCTTTATGAGGTCGTCGGTCCACCTTGTGGGTGGACGTCCTACGCTGCGCTTTCCGGTACGAGGCCTAAGTATAGCGAGGGTTAAGTATAGCTTAGTCTTATATCAGACCTTGCCACATGAAGATTCCTAGAACCTCTTCTGACCCGGCTTAGAGAAACTCTGACTAAAGAGGAATATTGTAGAAGTTCTTGCTACATTGGAATTAAAGTAAGACCGTAAAACTTAGAGGCTTTCACTGGACTATTATTCCCACTTATCGTCACCACCGCTGCAACTCCTGTGTAGCTAGGATCTACAACTTGACTACCAATAAAAATTCTAGTCACAAAATCAAGCCACTTGCCATGATCACAGAATCCATAGATCTAGCTACGTACTGGTATAATGTACCTGCAATTTTTTTTGTCCAAGTTATTTATTGTTCTGTCTGTAATGATTGAAACATTCTTTTTTGCAGTTTTGCCAATTCTCCAATTATACGTTAATGTTAGCCTTTGTTATAACATAACTTTCCCATCCCCAGTACCCTGGAGAGCTCCCCGACAACCTGCAGATCATCAACCTGAAGGCAGTCAGCGTGGAGACCTGCCAGTCGCTGTACAGCGGCATCAACCAAGTGTTCAGCTCACAGATCTGCTCCCTCACCAAGAGTGGCGAAGGAGCTTGCCACGTAAGTCGCTTCATCATCATCATTATTTCAGCCATAGGACGTCCACTGCTGAACGTAGGCCTCCCCCAATGATTTCCATGTTGACCGGTTAGTAGCGGACTGCATCGGAAATCGCTTGTACGAGACATAAATTGGTAGATCAGGATCTCCGATAAAATTAACGAACGAGATTCAGCCTGTATTATTCAAGCACATACCTACATATAAATATTTTATTCATAATTCCATCCAGAACTTTTTCGTAGAACAGTGATTCAATCAACAACGATTAATATTGCTCTCTCAATTTCAATCATAGCTTTTTAATTATTCCATGAAAAATGTCTGTCAGACTCCTTGAAAAACTCAAGAAAACATTTTAGCTGACTCAGTTGGGTTAGCTAATCTGACAAGACTCTCACGAAATTTATGTGACCGTCACGTCACTAATCGAGTTCATGGCAGAATTTTTCATGGTTTTTATCATTTCTCAGGGTGATTCTGGCGGTCCTCTTGTCGAAAACGGCAAAGTGGTGGGCATCGTCTCTTGGGGCATGCCCTGTGCGCGTGGTTACCCAGATGTCTACACCCGAGTCCACTCCTTCAAGGATTGGATCGTGAAGAATCAGCAGTAGGAGAGAAGAACGTGGAACCTAGTCTGCAAGGCGGTTGCGTTCTTTCAGCTTTATGTCTCTTCTCTTAAGGCAACATCTCGAATATACGCACGTTTTGCAGAATACGGCCTCAAAATTCTTGAGGTTTATACCTATTTGCCTACCTACCTAGTTATCTACTTCTAAAATATTTTTCATATTAACTAGGACTTAAATAATGCGTCTAATTCTGAAGTTCTGGAATACCAACCGGCCATAAAATGTAAAAATATACCTAGATAATAAAAATGTTTTTAAATAAAAAAAATCTGCCTTCTTAATACATACAATATATTCTACCTACATTTTTAAATACCTACTAGGCTACTATAAATACTACTACTACTAAAGCCCGGTCCGTGAGCACGTAGAATTTTGTCCAATGACCCCTAGCTACCCATCCTTATCGCTCGCACGTAATTATATTGCTGTCGCGACTGTGCGACTGGCACCCGCAGTGAGTGTGCGAGCGCGATAGCAACATAATTACGCACAAGCGATAAGGATGGGTAGCTAGGGGTCATTGGACAAAATTCTACGTGCTCACGGACCAGACTATACTATAAATCAGTTTTTCATACACATATTGAATAGTCTGTCTTAAGGGCATTACCTATAGGCTTATCTTTTCCTTTTGACATAAAAAACGCTACGAAACATCATCAATATGAATTTAAGCAATACTCAACCTCTGAGGTCAATATTATTGATGGTAACCTTTTTGAATAGGTCCCCGAGCACGATTAATGCGGTTCTGTCATACCTTTCACAGCTCTTCTCTAAGCTGATTATGATAAATGAAATTCATGAAAAACACGGTGTCACAGACCTCGGGCTTTCACGTTCGTGAAAATTCCCACAAATGTAGAATAAAACACAAAAAAAAACATGCCCTTACTGGGTTTACCTTAAGGGATACGAGGGATCACGTTTATTTGTATTCACTACATGTTTGGTTTGCTACATCATTGGAAAATAATCTGTACAAATCGCGTGGGTTGTATCTGAGATTTGGGAAAAATTCAGCATCACTAATTCCTGTAACATTTTCCTCTGAAAGTCAGTCGGTATAACTTGCTGTTACGAAAACAATTACAGACTTAGTTAAAGTTTATATAAACATATTAAATAATAGTAATGTATTAATTAAATTAAAAAGTTATCTTCTCTAGCTACACATTGACATCAGAATTTAAATTATTTTAAATTATACTATCCAAATTACCATACTTTCCTCCTTTGTTGGCCAGAATACTGAATTCTTATCTTAAATCTTAGTGCTATTCTATTTTGCATTAAAAATACTGCCGTGCTGTCGACACACCTACATTCAGATGGAAGCATCAATATTGACAATCAAACACTGTTAATGTTACCATCAATTAACAATGCAATTTACAGGGGAAACAAAAGAAAATTACCTTTCACTCTATTGCACAAAGAACAGAGAACGCTATAGATAATAGGTTAGTCTTGTAAAAACAAAGATACGAAAAGAGATAAATTACTCGATAAATACTGAAAGTACTTTTTTCTATGAGATATGTAAGTCTTGCTGACATTGAAGGGTACCTACTCAGATCGTCGCTTGCCTCTCTAACTGACGTAACTGACATTTAGCAAAATTTTCAGGCGATTAGACAGATCGATTCGTCTTGCGAAATTGATTATAGTCTTTTTCACGTAAGATGATCCGTATGACACTTCAAGGTTATCCATATTACGCATACTACATATGCAGAATATTATTGAAAAAATATTTGTATTTTATTAGCAATATAATAAAAAAAAATAACTACCTTGTCTTGAAATATATAGTAAAATATCAGAGTCTATTGATTATATTTTAATTAAATACGATGTAAAAATATTTTTTATTTAATGTACGCAATGTGTGAAACGGAATAGATTTAGTGCTGGGGTATTTCTTGAATAATAAAATCGATTATTTCCGCGGTTCATTAATCGATTGAAGTAAATACTTACCCCCTTACTAATAAAAAGTTACACAGTTGTTGATCACTGTTTTAAAATGACATTTCCATACTAAACGTCACTTTAAAACACTGTTCAACGAGCGTGTAAGTTTTATTAGTAAGAGGGTTTGTTATTAAAAACATCACAAAAATCAACTATATTTTTCGATTATTGACTTTAATAAACGCATTAAAAATAAATTAATAGTCTTTAATTTAAAGAAACAGAACCAGTACTTTTTAGGAATCGTTTTTTTGAACACGAGACATGAAATTTGAATATTATCAATAAAAAATTGTTACAATAATATTTGTAATTAAAAAATACATGTTTTTTGTTAAATAACACCTATACAAAATATTTCTCTAAAAGTAGGTTTTACTTACTCTTCGAAAAAAATCGATAGATAAATCGCTATGGTTTAGTTAAGTGACATCTCTAAATCTTTCAAACTCGAAACGTCATACGGATCATCTTAGATGAAAAAGACTATAAGATGGTGTAGATAACTCAGTTTCGAAAAAAATGTCAGATACGTCAGTTAGAGAGGCAAGCGACGAGATAATGCACTAAGGCTGCACTTACTTCGTTCGTTCCAACCAAATGACGTCCACTGCTGGACAAAGGCCTCCCCAAGGATTTCCACGACGACCGGTCCTACGCCGCCCGCATCCAGGCTCCTTCCGCAACCTTCACCAGATCGTCGGTCCACCTAGTGGGTGCCTACACTAGAGTGCACTTGAACGGTGAACTTCGTACCACCTATTTATATATATATTTATTTACTTATAGGCACAACAACAGAATACAATCTCAAACATTTTTTTAGAAAAACATTAGTTTTTTGCATTCAAATTGAATTCCTATAAATTTTGCACACAACGTTTACATAAAACAGGTACAATTAAAAGAATGTATGTGAGTACATCGGAAATAACGTAGGAATATGTTGAAAGAATGACTCAAATCGGTCAAGTGTTAAACATTGTAAGAATTCCCATACCCATATCGCGAGCCGAACCACTGACCCTTCAAAGCTCAGGTTTTTCCTATTTTGAAGGTCAAGTGAACAACAAATTTGCTTAAACACGAAAAAAACAAGAAAAAAAAGTAGTTTCAGTAGTAGCTTATTCAATGCAAACAAACAGTAGACGTAGACCTACGAAAATCTTCTTTGAAATCTTTCCACATTCCAACTTTCCAATAATACTGAATGTTTAGAGTAGGCGCACACCGTTGATTTTTAGTTGGCCGATAGTTGTGCCCGATTTTAATTTGTATGAAGAATCGGCCAAATCGAATCGGCGTAGTGTGCGCCCTCCCATACATGCCCATACTGATCAATTGCCCGACTAAACTATGGGCCGACGAAAAATCAACGGTGTGCGCCTACTCCTAGGTTTCCCTTTAATCGAAATCATCTCGTTTCCAGCCCAGTGAATGAATAGCGAGCTGACAGTTTCTAATTATGCCTAAGCGTCGGATAAACATAAATATTTATGACATACCGAACCGATATTAACTCGTCGCCGCTTAAATTTATCTCGGGCAAAATATTCGTTAACAATTCAGCTACAATGAACGAAGATAACAACATTGTGACAGCAATTTTAAGCAGATTTGTTTTTTTTTTTTAATCAGACGAAACCACTTCTGACTGATTTTGTGCAGTCAATAGTGGTTTTGACCAAGGGTGTCAGTTAATAAAACCACTTTTGACTGATTTTTGCAGACAAAAGTAGTTTTGACCGATTACTAGTTTTGGTTGTAACATAATCTACAATAAGTTATAATGAAACTTTCTGATTTAACAGTATTTGCGCTTTCGGTTTAGAGAAAAAGTTAGCACTCATGTCAGTCAAGTGCGACTTTATTTGTTAGCCCCATGCCCGCTTTCACCATCTATTCCTAATTTTTAAGTGACTCCTATGAAAACAAAATTCCTGCTATGTGTTACCTTAGGGGTCACTTAAAAATTTGGGATTGAGGGTGAAAACGGGCACCAGACTCCGAAACATATTGTTAGTTAATGTTAACTGGACTTCTACCTACCGAAATAAAAGGTTGATTTTTGCAAAACATCATCATAAAACATTGGTTGACAGAAAATCTAATAAAAATATTTTTTAAATTACATCCATATTGGGTTCATGTGACAAACAGTTTGTATGATAGAAAATTGCGAAAATATTGTAGAATTTTGCTTTTCGAGTTCAAACGAAAAATATTTAATATGAATTCGGTAGGTATTTAATCTCTGCTCCTGCCGAGTTTGCGGAATTCGTAACCACAGCGTTGAAAGGGATCTCATGGAATATACCTACCTAATTTAAAAAATGAAAATTATTGCGTTCGAATTCATATTAAAATTACGAGTATAGAGTNGTACAATCATCATACATTTAATGCATGTCATTTTTTACGCAGTCGCTAGCGGATGACAATCGATATAAAGTCGCACTAAGCCCACTGATTACGAATAGATCCAGAAAAACACGTGTAGTGACAGCGGTTAGTGCTAGGGTCTCATTGCTTTTTTTTTTACAGAAGTACCTAGTGTAATTATTGTTCCTTTCTACATAATCTAGCAAAATCGATTTTGATAAAAAAAAACTTGTTTTATAATTTTCTTAATTTCGTCATTTATTCTGCATTTTAGTATTCACACATGCAGACGGTAGCATTGTTAGTTTTATTTGTTTAGACGGTATAGAATAAAATGTCATTATCATCATAGAAAATATAATTTTTTAGAGTCCCGTAGTCCTGACAAGGAACCCTTATAGTTTCGATATTTCTGTCTGTCCGAGGTTTTGCTTGGAAACTATTGGCACTAGATAAAACAGTAGAATAAATGTTTGAAAAAACATTTTTTTAGGGTAGCTCCCCTACATGTAAAGTGGGGACGATTTTTTTTTTCATCTTCTACACCATCGTGTAGGATATCGTTGGATGACTTGGGGGTTTCAAAGACTATTTTTCGATTTAGGGGACCGTTTGCAAACTATTAAAGTTAAAAGTGCCAATTTTTGTTCGAGCAGGGCGTCCCCCCACTCTAAAAACTAGACTGTTGCTTGAAAAATCTGGAAAAATTCATAATAATACTGCTTTTTATAAACTTTCAAGAAAACCATAACGGTTAGGGTAGGTCAGTTAAATTAAGAGTACCTAATAGTCATTTAACTCATGTATTATCATATCTAATAAAAATTCCTTAGAAGAAAATATTAAAAGCGACTTTAGATGAAGTAATTGCTTGCTTCTGAAATATATTTTGTTAACGACC